CTGTCACATGGCCGGGACCCCGCTCCCCGCCGAGGGCGGCAGCCGCTGCCACCCGTCCCCTGGCCTCGGACGCCTTTTTAAGGGAAATAAAGACGAAAACGCTTTTGGCACCTACGGAGCGGGCGCTCCCGAGGAACGTGGTAGTGTTGAATACTCTCTCTGCCTTTCCCTTGGCTCTCTGGATCAGTGCAGGAGCGATGAAGTTGAAAGTTGGTTCTCTGTAATTTCTGTGTGCGCTTGCTTTTGGAAGCGAGAGTATCGCTCTGCGTATTTAGGAGTTGCTTTTTTTTTTTTTTTAAATGTTTTGTGTTGAATACTCTCTCTGCCTTTCCCTTGGCTCTCTGGATCAGTGCAGGAGCGATGAAGTTGAAAGTTGGTTCTCTGTAATTTCTGTGTGCGCTTGCTTTTGGAAGCGAGAGTATCGCTCTGCGTATTTAGGAGTTGCTTTTTTTTTTTTTTTAAATGTTTTCTGAAAGAGAAAGCTTGTTTCTCTTCAGGTTTTGTCACCCCTTCAAAAGTAGTCCTTTAAAGTATCTTAAACTTTCCAGAGAAGCGCTGTAATTAACGTGAAAAAGTTTGAGATAAAGTGAGAAAGAGACTTGCCAGTGTTTGAGCTAAAGTAAATAAATTTATTGCTTTGATAGGAAACTATAATGTTGCATATTTTTGTGCCCTTGACAGAAATTACTTTTTAAATTTATTGTAGAACTGGGGTAGTAATTGTTCGTTGTTATTTTGTATATTAATCAGTCTCAACAGTGACAACTAATATTGTTAGGGTTTTTATTGATTTTTCTTGTTTTGTTTCAAATTAAAAGCACTGGGCTTTATTTTCTAATTCAAATTTCAAGTTGGTAAACAGCAATAATAACTTTATTTCCTCCTTTTTAATAACCTGTTGCACTTTGGTAAAATGTTAACTTCTTGTTTCATACCTTTTAAAAATGTGCTTTTTTTTCCCCCCTCAACAGGAAGGAGTGAAGACTGAAAACAATGACCACATTAATCTGAAGGTGGCAGGGCAAGATGGGTCTGTGGTGCAGTTTAAGATTAAGAGGCATACACCACTTAGTAAACTAATGAAAGCCTATTGTGAACGACAGGTACGGTTCTTGTATGAACATTAGGAGAACCAGTGTCTGGGGGAGAGATGATGTCCGTAGAGATGGATGAAGACAGTAAAGTCTTAAAACCATGTAAATATGCAAAATGCTAAAGACTTAACAGAAATTAATTGCTTTATAGAAACTGTATTGTTCTTAGGGTCTGTTACAGACTAGACTGATAAGGGTTGTGGCAGGAAACAGGTAAAATAAGTGATCGGTTATCTTTGTGAAATCTGCCTTGTAGCTCTAGGCTGTTGGGAGGCTGCTGTAACTCAAAAATATCGGTATGGAAATGATGAGATAAGAACCTGTAGTATGAAGTTAGGATAGACAGTTGAATGATAATCAGAGGTATTTTTATAATGCCGTGTAAGTTCTTGGTCTAACTATGGACTTCTGGTTTATTAGCTTAACATTACTGTATTAAGGTGGGAGAATATCAGTGAGTGTTTCAGGATTTATAGGTGTCTGATGGCAGGCTTGGGAAGGAACTTGTACATGTAATGATGAGTTTTGTGGGTTGTGTTTTGTTTTTCCTCTCTTGTGGCCTAGTTGTCAAATTGATCCTCTGAGGGACAAAAAATATGTTTTGCTAGCTGGGCCAACTGCAGCCAACCTACTAGCTTTCAGGTGGCCATTGCGAGAAATTTTAAAAATACCTGTGGAAGAATAATGTTATTTAACACTTTCTCCTGAAGCAGTTGATGAGGAATACTTTGTCTATGCTGCTGTCCAGGAATTTTTGTGTGAATGTCTACTTTTAAAAAGTTGCCGCCTCTACAGGCCCAAAGTGTTTGAGATTGGGGAATTTTGATCTGTTTGTTTAATAGAGATGTTCAACGATACTACTGAATAAAATCAATATAAAATGCCTTTATACTGAGATAACTATTTCACAACAAAATGAATTCCAATTCATACGCATAGGGGTAAAATCTCTTTGGTTTACCCTTTGCCCACAACACTATAGCAATGCAAATAAAACCAGGGTAAATCAGCTCTTAGCGAATATGCTTTGTATAGGTGTTCTGGGGATATATTAGTGAATGTTTGAGGCTGTGGACTCATTTTTTGTCTACCGCTGCCATTGATTCATGTTACATTATGTAAATCACTGCATATTGCTTTTCCCAAACATAAAGTGCAGGTATATCTCTCTTTTGGGGAGTTTGAGACTTGGTTAATTGTTTGTAAAGTTCTGGAAAAGGTAATTTGAGAGGTATAAAGGTATCATTCATACTTCACTCACTTGAATGCAAACCAAAGTAAGATTTTAAGACTTTTCATCCAAATTTCTATTCTGTTACCAAAAAATGTTGTATTAACTTAGAAAAAATGCCTCCCTTTTAAAAGCTTTTTTTAGATTTGGGTTTTAAATAATTAGGTTTCCAAAGGATATCTCTGTGGAGGTGGACTCTCTTTAAACAGTGTTTCAAAGGTGTTTAGTACTCAGACTTTGTTTGAAATCATTTGTACGGTCTACCTGTAAAAGTTAGATTTTTGTTCATGTTCCAAACTAGGCATACCCAGTCTTAAAAATCTGCAAGATGCAGACTGTAGATCTAATTTTGGAGAGGTGGAAACTGCATACAGTAGAGAACTTGACAGTTTTAAAGAGTAAAAATCATATATTGCATCTAGTAGAACTAAAATGGAAGTTAATAAACTTTGGATGATATGGTTTGGTTAGCAAGACTATTTTTGATTATTATAAGTGGGAGAAGTTTATCAATGGAACATATACAGTTTTATTGTGGATGCTAATCTCGCCAAGATACAGCTTTTTAGTATGTTCCTAGCTAGCCTTTATTCAGCTCATAAGGTTGTCAAGAACCTGCAAAAAAAATAACACTTTCAGAAAAGGAAATATATATTTTAAGAAACACAATCTTTGAGAAAACAGCTCAAACCAAATGTTGCTGTGCAAAAATGTGTTGCTGCCATGACACTTAGACACATGGTTTTCTTAAACAAGAGGATGTTCTAAGTGAACATAACAGAATCTGAGTCACACCGGAGAAGGCATTTTGCTGTGAACTTTAAAGTCTTAGCCAAAAGTTTACTTGTCAGCATGTTCTTTATTAAAACATTTTTCCTGACAAATCAACTTCTCAAGAAAAATAATTAGTACGCTACGTTTTCTTTTCTGTGTAACGCTTGCTCTTGTCTGGGTAAATGGAGACTTCTTTCTCTACTCAGATGTGTCAAAGCAGCACCATCCGTACGTTGGACTTACTGTATGTTTAGATATTCTGTAGAAAGAGTAGATAGAACTGGAAGCAAGTAGATACAGAAGGATCTTGGCTCTGTTCCTGGTTGTATCCTCAGACTTCATTCTTCTTGCTTTGTAGAGTTTAGTGTACTATGAAGTATCTTCGAAAACTAATGTGAATGTTTAAGCTTATCTTAGTACATGGGTTTATTGCTGCTCAGCTGTCTCTTTGAATCTGTCAGCTGAAGTGAGAATGAAAAGTAGTGTTTGGGGGGATGGAAGAGGTCAGCAAAATGACTAGTGAGTGTGGCAGAAACTTTTGAGATGCTGTAATACTTTTAGTAGTTTATTTCTGGAATCAGAAGATCCCTTTAACTTCTTGCAAAGTTCACTTCAGCTGTGTGTGGAAAAACTTGTTCCATTGGTTTCTTGTTCATACGTATTTAAGATCAAAAAGTTACCATTAGCTACTGTTACTCCAGACTAATAGATGCCTCTTGTGTTTCTGGGAGAAAAATTGTTTGATAATAATACCTTTGCTTTTGGGGAAAATCAAAAGGATGTATTGAATATTACTGCTTGTTGACATTCATCACCCAAAGTGTTACATGCAGTTTTAAGTGAATTATTTAATATTAAAAATTACTATAAGAATCCTGGTGGTTTTGGCCTTTGGGGTGGGACCTGTGTACTAGAAATCCTTTTATTTTAACTTACAGTCAGTGGGGGCACTGTTGCTTCTCTTAGTAATTGGATGCATTGCAACTTTTAATACGAAACAGATTGCAAGGATTTGTAGTGAAATGCCTCATAGTCAGTGCATGAGGGGAATATGAAAACTATATCATGAATTATGAATGGTGGCTTTTAATATGATCATGGTACAATTCCAGTGACAAGTTGAAGAGAAAACCAGTGAATGTTCTTACACAAGACTTACTCCCCTTTATGTTACTTCTCTTTGTCTAGGGGTTGTCAATGAGGCAAATCAGATTCCGGTTCGATGGGCAGCCAATTAATGAAACAGACACACCTGCACAGGTAAACAAACAGAGGCAAATCTTAAAAATATACTTAAAGTGTACTGCAGGAGTTGATGCTTCTGTTTAATATGAAAAACTTGTGTAATTGCATACATTAGTATAGAACTTGTTCTTTTTTTTATATCTATATCTATATAAAAAATTTCAGGGGGCTAATAACTAGTTTAGAACTATTGGAAGTGGATGCTAAGATTTCTTTTGAATTTTGAATAATAAACCTGTATCACTATAATAACAAAATAAGAAAATGAAGTACAGTTTCAGCAGATGGTGAGCCATATGAGTGTTACTTTATTGATTCACGACTCTTGAGATAAGAATTGGTAAGGTAAGAACTGAGTTTTTTCCAAAGTAAAAGCTTTATATTTCATAAAAACTTGCCAGGATGTCATCAGCAGTTCTGTTTGCGAGCGTGCATGTTGTCAAGCGTGCAAGAAAGTCATTTTCCATTATTTACAATTTGAAGCTGTACTTCAGGCATAAAACTGTTGAATATTGTAAAGTTTGGGTTATCTGTCTGTAATCTGGTTAAAACGAAGGTTATTCTAACAACAGAATGGTTCACTCTGGCTCTGAGCTTTTTTCTATACTGTCCTGCGTGGCTGTGTTTAAACAACCGTTCTAAGTGACACTGTTTTGCATGCCTTTAGAATAATTTCTTATAAAATAAGGGACTTTTTTGTTTGTTTTTACAAGTTTTATAGAAGATCTATATTTTCTAAGCGGGTGCTCCTAAGCTTCTGAGCATGTGCTCTTACAACCCCAATCCGTACAACTTTTAACTTAAAATACTAAAAATTGAGACAACGGGCTGTTTTCCTCTCCATCTGTGTTAGGCTGAAGCTAAGGATCAGTTATTTATAGCTGCAGTAAATGCCATAGACCAGTTTGATATCCTGGAGCAGAAATTGAGACTGTTTAGAAATATAACTTGCATACATTAGTAACAGCAACTCTTTCAGTCTTGGTACAGGTTCTGACAGCAGGTAACCTTAACATCCCAGGAGTATCGATTGCAAAACTTACTGTGAAAAAGAGACTTGTAGTAATAAAGTATTGTTTTCATCACTGGCAGTTTGTTACATCGTTGACCAAAATGGTCTTTAATTTGTTGTGGTTGCTGATACTCTGTTTTACTGCCTGGTTGGGCTAGGGGCCTTAATTATAGTCTACTTTCTTTAGTGTTGTAGCTGAAGCCATATGCACATTTGAACAACAACAAAGTGGAACTGTGGCAATGTTCTAAGGTGAACTGTGGAAGTAAATAGGAGAAAAAGGATGCAGTAACAAAGTAGGCAAGAGAACTACAACATTGGGATGTCTGATCTTTTCCACAGGACTCATCTAATGCTCAGTGAAGTTGTGAAGTTGCATACTAGAATTCATTACAGTTACTCACTGGGGTGTTTTTTTCCCAAATTGTTTCTTTATTTTTGAGTTATGGTGCAGTAGCTCAATTGCACAGTGATGATGGAGGGAGGTGGGGCTGGCTGGTTAAATTGCATAAAAAGTAGAGATGAAGAGAGGAAATATAAGAACTACCCAGCCTATAGTAGATGTCTGAGAGGAGTTGAAAGCCTTTTTTCTCTTTTCTGCTGTAGTTGGAAATGGAGGATGAAGATACAATTGATGTGTTCCAGCAGCAAACAGGAGGAGTTTACTAAAAATAAATAAAAAAAAAAAAAAAAAGAACCTGCTACTTTCCTCTCCAGAACTGTGCTCCCACAGGCGACACATTCACAATTAGAAAAATGAGACTTGGTTCAGCCACATCCTGACTACTGCAGTATAGTTTTCTCTCTTCTCTCTCTGATTTTTTTTTTCCTATTCCTTCTATTGTACATAAAGTAACTGGTGTATGTGCACAGACATAATGCATATTTTTTTTAACTAAATGGCCAATGGTATGTTTTGATCAACATTTAATGGAGATGGGGTGGGAAAACAAACTGGTTCTGTGAAAATGCCCCTTTCTCCGTTAGTGGCATGCTCCTTCTCCTTTTATCTTTATATTCCAGTAAGTTATTTTGCTCTCACTGTTTAAAAACAAAAACCTTGCATACCTTGTTTGATTGGATAATTTCAATGTTTTTCTTTTATCATTGTAAAACCAAGGACAATTTTATAACTTTTTTGTACGTAGCTGTTACATGTAGAGCAATCTCTGTCTAAGTAGGGGTAAATTACTCTTTAAAAAAAAAAAAAAAAAAAAAGATCCTAGATAGTTTTCCCTTCAAGTAAAGCGTCTTGTTGTTTAAATAAACTTCTTGTTTAAAATAATCAGTTTTCTTTATTTTTCTGTAGAGTAATAGTACTCAGCACTTGTAGTTCTTTCTCTGCAGCACCTTATGCTCTTTAATTCTCAGAGTTCTCTATGTGGTAAGTAAATAAGCATGATCCCCTTTTACAGTGGGGAGATTGTCAGAAATTGAAAGGCTTCCTTGAGACCTCTCAGTCAGTCAACAGTTGAACTAGAAATAGAAGTCCGTTTTCTCTTCTTTTGATTTGTGTGTATGTTCTGTTAAGCCAAAAATGTTTGACTAGGCAAACAGCAAAATACTGGACTATTTACTTACGGCTTTGGGTTGAGGTCTTTTTGTCAGTTTTTAATGGAAACATCAATGTTGTTGTTATAATAGCTTATTTAAAACTGTATTTGAATGCTTTTTGATGTAAACATTAAGTTATACAGAACAAATCATTTTGCTAAGCATTCAATTTTCCATGCTATCAAATGAGAGATGCTTGAAAATGTAAAGCAAAAATAAAAAATGGAGTTCTCTTTTTGGGTGTATTCAACTATGGTGCTGAAGATTCCAAGCTCTGCTTTAACTGTAACATTGTGGTATTCCGGCGTGAAAGGGGAAGAGGCTGCCTCCCTTGAAGTACTGGAGGAGCCAATGACAATGGTGTTTTTCATGAGCCTTTTCCACAAGGCCGTTGTTTTTGAGTTGTCTCAGGGGGAAGCTTAGGGGTTGCAGTGAAATCCATGACATTCATGAAAGATTGTACAGCTGTCTACTCAACAGTCCCAAACCATTCTCTAATTTCCTAGGAATGTTCTAAGGTTTTGTGGCAGTTGCAGTAAGTTAATGCTCTTTTAGATATTAATCAGTTAGCAGAGCTCACTTTTTGGTGGTAGTTTTTGCAATAGTTAATTCAAGAGGTGATTTTTGTATGCTAGGCCTGTGCCTGCTAGACCTGGAAATGATTTCGCTTTGTGGAACAATGTGTCCGTGCATTTAGATGATGGACATTGATCTGTTTGACTTATGTCATAACTTTGAGAACACACGATGTCATATTAATTGCATCTAATGTAGATATTAGAAGATGTGTTTTTGAAGTCACTTTTGACTAACCGTGCAGCTGAAGGATGTAGTATGTTGTTGCTGTTTGTGGTTTTTTTTTTTTTTTATTTAAGGAAATTCCACTGCTAAGCAGATTATTTCTTATTCTGGTATACATCTTCTAGACTTCTGCGCTATATTGCAAGGTTGGAATTACTTCTTGCGAACACATGTTTTCATATCCAGAACCACAAAGGCCTGGAAAATTTTTCTTTTAAAAAAAGGTGTATATTTGAACACCTCAGTTCGTTCCTAATTTCGTAGGTTAGGCACAGAGTACGTTCCTCCCTGGCTTTTGCCCTGGCTAGATTTCTGATAACAATTTATTGTTAAGTCTTTCAACTTCATATCAGGCCAAACTTCTCCCAGGAGAAAATTGTCTTTATTCAGCCAAAAAAAAAGATGTTTGGACTTGTTTAGTTTCTGAAGAAAGGGTGAAATCTTCTTAAATACAGCTTTTTTTTCAGCCCAACTTCAGACTGTGGAGCTCAAAACTCCCTGTTGTATCTTGCCTCCTATTTTTTCTTTCCTGAAGCAATATAAGTAAAATGACAGGTATTGAGCAGCATGCTTTCAAAAACATTGTCTTAACTTTATGAAGTAGTACAGTGGTGCTTCATCTGTCATGAATTTTATGTGCAGGATTCTTGTAATATGATGTTCTGCAAGCAAAATTAGAACATCTAGCATGGATTTTGACTAACTTACCGGAAGTCACCCGTCGGGGGGAGGGGGAAGAGAAAACATAAGGCTTCTGAACCAATAACTTGATGCAGCAGCTTTGAAAATATTCTTTAATTCATCATAAGCTGAAATTTCCTCTAGCATTTAGCAATGGGCTGTTAAACCGAAAAAATGAAGGAGTATTGATCAGTTTCTCCTGAATTTCTCCTTTTCTAACATATTTTTGCTCTTCAGCTGAGCTTGGTCCTGATATCCTTGAAATAGTTCCTCTGAGGATGTACTGAAGGATGTTTAGGCTAAGATGGCTACTGCAACCAAAAACTGGTAGAAGTGGCCTTTTCCAAGAGGTGTTTTCTTGATTAGATAAAATCAACAAACCGTTGCAAAGAACTTAATTGACTTAATTCAAGAACCTCAAACATTTAGTTCCCATTAGTCTAGCAAACTGTTTAGATGGACTGGACTGGCACATTCTGATGTATAACTTATCTGTTCACACAGCCGTGTAGAAATACTAACTTGTTTTTCTTTTCAAAACAATTTTTAGAATTATTTTCTTTCATGGCTTTGCAAATAGTCTCCTTATGACACAGAATTATCTTTGTAGCTTGTCAGTACTATGTTGCTTAGAGGATTTACCTGTTAACTCCTGTTTGCTGGGACCTAAGTAATTTTCATGTGACTTTGCTATGAAAACTATTGCTAGTGATGATGATTCAGAAGTGATATGAAGTATAGGGATATAAACTATTAGTTTGTATCAAATCTATTTTGGAGGTCATTTAGTTGTTTGACCTATTCTAATTTCTAACAGTTCATGTGTTTACACTAGTAGCCTATTGGACGACTAGGAGTCCACATGTGAGAGGATAAAGGAGAACTGGCCAACGAGTTCTTGTTGTGCTAGTTGACAGATAAGTCCTTCATGTTTATGAAACAGCTGGGATCTTCCAGAGCCTGGGCAAATTGATTTATTACCCACAGATTTCAACTAATGTATTTTAAAGTGATTGCCATGTCATTTATGCCCAAAGCTTTTATTCCTCTCATAATTTTTAAATGAAGGAACTGAAATAGGTCATGTTAATCGGATACAGTACTCTAGCTAATTCTTGTGGTGGATGGGACCTTGCCTTGAGTGTATGCTTTAGCTCCTCAAACGTTTGCAGTTTTAGTTGTGAAACGGGCTCAAACTTGCTTGTGTTTCCCCGTTATTTCAAAAGATGTAACCAACACTTTCAGGCACAGATACCTAGAGTACGACATTTTCATTCATGTACAGGGAGGACAATGACAAATTGAGAGCACAGCTGGTGCCAGTGGAACCCCTCCTCAGTTAACACCTGAAAATCGGTGCCTTAGTTTCCCTCTCTGCAAGATGGTGATAGTACCCATTTAAAAGGGCTCTTGTGAGGATCAATATTAAATGGTCTGAGATGCCGATTCACAGGTGGTTCTAGAAGTACAAAGCATTATACTGTGCTTGACAGAATGTTCTGAAATGGAATATGCTAATCTATTAAGAGTGTAAGGAAATACTCCAAGTGGTAACGTGAGAGAGATTCTTGTACTGGCATATGGAGATGTTCTTGACAAAAGAAAAATCGATGAAGCAATACAAAATAGTTGCTGCTACAAGATAAGTACAATATCGAAACAGATACAACATCTCTGCAAGGTTATGGTCAAACCAGACTGTCTGACTCAGAAGTAACAAAGTTAAGGTATGTACCAGAAAGGAATGTTTTTGTAAGAAAACAATGTAATGTAAATGCTGTCATTATGTCACTGGTTCTATTGTGACCATTACTGCAACATTAATGAAAAGGTATAATGTGACTGGCTCAAAGAAATAATACTTTCTGTGCTTCAGCCACTTGGAAACAATTAAGTTTCTAAGAAATAGCAATTTTTTTCAAAGCTAAAAATGAAAAACTAGATGCTTCCTTGATGTCCATCTATTAAATGAACAATGAATTCTTTTTAGTTTTAGACTGTCACCTCTTCTCAGCATGTTTGTATCAGCTGGTGTGATAGGGTGTTCTGGAGTAATGAAACCAAAGAATTTAAAAGCATTTAAATAATGTTCATTATTTTAAATTGTATTGCCATTGTAATCTCATACATTTCAGCTTATGCATCATTGAGATTTGTTCATCCAGCTGTTAACTAGTTGCCAAACTGAGTATGTTCTGATGAGTGAATAACTTAATCCTCTGATTTATCTTGCTTTTGTACTTAGTGTCAGAATGAATTGGTAGTACAGCACTCCTCCCTAGTGGTTAGGATGTAGAAATGTGAGGATGAATAGAGGATGGAAGAGTGGGTTTTGACCCCTGTTTTCAGCATCTTGGTTGGTGTGCATCAAGATACTTCTGAGTCCTGGTTTCTTCACTAGCAGCATGGGATTCATGCTTTCACTCTAACATGGAGATGCTGGGAGGTCTAGCTGATGCTTATGAAATGGTTTGAGACCCTTTGAGAGGAAGAGTTTTCCCCTACCCTTGAAGAGTCTCAGTTTATGCAGAAGGGATCAAATGAATGAGGAAGGTCATGTGAGTGGGAGAGATGACTGGTGATGCTACAAAAGAAGTGGCTCACTGTCAGGAGAGATCCTAGAAATAAGGCAGGTTAGCGGAGCGCTG